CTGAAGTAGCACGAACGTACAGAGCATGGAACGAAGCTGCACGTGTATGCGTATGCACTATAAAACGACCTCGACTAGGCTTGTACTTCTTATTCGTCTTCGGGTTTGCTATAAGACGGATCGCAAAGTATTGGATAAAATCTCGTCCGGTTTGTTTTTTGTTTCCACCGCAGTTTTTGAATTCGTTACTAATTTTATCCCTCAAGTTGTAGTACCGGAAATTCCAAATGCTAAAAAATAATGACTTTCAACAACAAAGATATACTCATTACTTAAAGCCAAGCTCGTGGTTTCTTTATTAAATGTTTCCAATTCGTAAAGTTAATACCTATATAAATTGCCATTTAAATGGTTATGAAATATTTCTTATTAGTTGGTGTAGAAATGAAATGATATCATAGAATCAAATACTTGTTTTGAAGGAATACATTTATTAAATGATTCTTGATCCGAAAAGCGCAAATGATTTTAGTTGCACGAGCGAAATAAAAAAGAATAGCCGTGATTGTATTGTTAGGTGTCACTTAATCGCTTCGCGAGAAGTGCTATCCGATTCAATAATTCAACGGACGATACGACACGACAGGAAGAATAAATCCGTTCAACAGCTGTTACGGGCCTGATTCTCGCTAAACCGTGCCAAAGCACTTTAGGACAATTCAGGAGTTTCCTATTCCCCGTTGGACCGCACGTTAAAAGGTCGAACGTGCGAAAGTAACCGTTAGTCAATTCCCTTTGACCTACCTTTCGAACAATGATAGAAACGATGCACGCAAGACCGAAAGACTTTGTGCTCACCGGATTTTCCATTGGTAGGACTTTTAAGAAGCATTGTCTTTCCTTCGTGTTACGAGTCAAGAGATCAAAGAAACATTTATTACATGCTATGTACGGGCAAATCAAAAGCTACGAGGTTACGTCAACAAGAACAAAAAAAAACAAGAAAAAAAGGAAAGAATTGAGTTAAACTATTTGAAATTTTCAAAAGAATCAAAATGAATCAATTGATATCGATAAAAATTAATATTAAAAAAGGAAATAATCGATATACGGTGGAAAGAATGAAATACTTCGGACATACCGTCGAATTTCAAGCTTTCGAGGATGACAATGAAATCTAGAAAGAGGACGTTTGGCGAAGCACGTATTCAGACGAGTATATCGTCCAGTCTGCTTCGTTTGGTCCGTTTCGGTTCGCTGAATTATGGCGAATGAAGCACTCTGTGAAAGCACACGTATACGAGATTCCCTCGTGGGGGAACGTTACTAAAAGCTACAAGGAGAGAAAAAACGTTCCGAATATTTCCCGACGTCAATCGAACAATTTCAACGTCAAGGGAAAAGAGAAAGAGAGAGATACAGAAAAGGAGAGAAAGTATGTAAAAAAGGATAAAAGAAAACGGGAAAAAAAGCTTTAATTTTTGTTTCTTCTGTAAAGCACAAGTACCAAATCTCGACTACGTGTATTTTGAATTAGGAGAATTGCGAAGTGCTGAACAACAGGTGGAAACATTTTCAGTAAAAAACTTCCAAAATCATTCTACCTAGAGTTTAATAGTTTTCAAAATCAACGAAAAGATCTTTCTAAATTGGCAATGTTCGTTTTTTCAAGTTCGATCATCAATAAATCGTTACAAATCATTTTCGATTACTCAATCATATGTATTTTCATAATCAGGTCTCATGGTAATGAATAGATATTTCGACAATAACCGAAATCGATTATGAATAATTTAGGGATTATTTTGTTTAAATCGTTGAAAACTTAATCACGAAAATGCATACATATGTATTTCTAATAGTTGCCATTTGAGATTACTCTCGTTTGTCATTAATTATAGGTAGGAAATTTAGCAAATGTTTCGAACATTCGATGAAAACGTATCATATAAAATAAAATATTACTATATAGAGTCATTCTCAAGGGTCGTGATAGCTTTGATTCGTGCGCGTACATATGTGTTTATGCCTACGTAGACTCAGCAAGTGTTTTCAAATTCATTCGCGATCGTGCAAAAACGAAGTTCGAACAGTAGTAGTAACAGAGGGGTAAAAGCTCTCATTTACCAGCATATTTAGCCGCGAAGCTTCGATGTAAAGAGCTACCGAAAACATCTGCCGAAATTGGTCCAGCCATTAGTAGTCGGTCGTAAACCTCTTCAGAGACATTTGAATTTTCAGCGGCCGGAGTAGCTCGAGTAACTTCATTCTTCGTAACGTCAACTTGGAATGTGTACGACTTACTTTTTTGAAAATAAAATCTTATGAGTTCACGCGACGGCCTTTTTTTCGTCGATATCTTGTCTTCTCAAATAAATTACAATGTATTTAATTATTTGTATTTTTATATGTAGATATTTAGATTAATGCCAATAGGCGTATAAAATGGCAAAAAAAGAAAATGAAGGGAGAAGGAAAATCACATCTCATTGTTAGTCAAGTCAACCTCGCCTAGGATCGAGTCAAAGTTAGTAAAAAAAAATCCCTTCCGTTGGTAGAACTGAATCGATATCCTCTATCCTTTTCTCCGCGGGATCTCGCAGAGTCTGCGCGGTGAACGAGGAGAGTAAACCTTGAAGCTTGCAGACTCTAGCTTTTGGAGACCGGGTTAAGCTCGAAGCAGGGTGCGTCAACGTGTCATCAACGACACCATTTTTGTCATCTTCTACAACGATATTTCTCTGTTATTCATCATTCATTCGCAATACTTTATAATCTTTTTTTTAAAGATTAATAAAGTTACTATCAAAATTCGACCTGATTAATAATTATTTATATACGGTTAATCGTATACTATCCTAGTTGGAACAAATAGTCAGATATTTTTCGGTTTTCATAAACCTTTAGACGAACTAAAAGTGTTTTCATTATACGGTTCATTATTTATGATCCATATTTCATATTACTTGGAAGTATTTGAAAAAGATTTTGATAACTATTTATTACTTATCGTTGGAAAGGAAAGTTTCTAAGCTACGTAGAACGTTTTATTAAACTATAAAACACGAATGTGATATCTCCTACAAAAGTACTTATTCTTTCTTCTCTTTACATCCATTTTCTTTCAGAAAGACTCACAGATTCTTGCAGATCAAGTTCCAAGAAAGACAAGAGCGCATTGATGATGTCGGTAGCGTATTTCAGAATAGTAACCTTGCAATTTCGAGAAAGTGAGAGGATGATTTTGAGAAATACTCGACTTTAATCTGAGACGATTGCTTTAATCCGAGATGAACGTTCCGTGATTTTGTCAGACTTCTCTCCTGTGCTCGATATTCTCTCATCTCTTTTGTTGAATATTCAAGAGAGAGAGAGAGAGAGAGAGAGAGAGAGAGAGAGAGAGAGATAGAGAGAAAGGGAAAAAAGTAAAGAGAAATCTCGCTAAAAATTACCAGAAATTTTGTTCTTTTTTTCTTTTTTCTCATTGCAATCATAACCGACGATCGAAAAGATTCATAATAAGTCATTTCTATTTTCACTTTATATAACTATAATAGGTTTTATTTCTCTAGACATTTACATTTTCGTTTATATAAAAGAGTGATTTTAAGTTAAAAGTATCGCTGCTTTTTCTACTATCAATTCTTTCGTTTTATTTTATCTTTGGTACGTAGAGCGTGTTTTCTATACGTACTTCCCTAGAAAATCCATTGAAGAAGAACGTGCTTCGCCTATGTACGACGTTATATTGAGACCTGTACGCAAGTGTACTGTAAACGCTTATCATACGAGTACGTGTACATATAGGAGATATATAAATATATATGTCTATACAAAGGACCAAGAGCTTAAATATTTAAACATCTTTGTTGTTCATTAATTAACGAGAAAATTTCCCTCCAAGTGAAGTGACAAATTTCATATTTTACTTTACAAAATGTATTTCAGTTTTTATATGCATACAACAGAACCGAAAAAATTGGTGATTCGTTCTTTGAATGTAAAAACAAAGAAAATCAATGGAAATATGATAGATACCTATATTTATGAAAGAAACGACAAACTCATGTTGAGAAATTTTCACTTTCTATCGGTAGATTGAAGTAGGTACCTTTAAACGTAAGAAACTTGGAACGAAAGTGTAAAAGGCTTGAGTACGATGCACTGCCCTCTATCGATAAGAACATCTCCGTCTCGCAACATCACCGGTCCAGTGGATATACGCCTGCCGGCTAAAATCGATTTCATCTTTTCACCTCGTACATACTTTCCGCTTTTATTTATATTCTCCTCTGGAAAAACTTCCGCCTCGCTACTTCTCCTCAAAAAGAAAAAAAGAAAAAAAATGAAAAAATTAAAAAACAAAGTAAAAGAAAGAAAATAAAAATTCCTTCTCGATCTCGCGAACATAGGTATACGATACTAACGAGAAAGAAACAAAACAAAAAGAAATCACGTTAACTAGAGTAAAAGAAGGAAAAATGTGAATAAAGAGTGGGGTGGCACGAGTAGGGTGACACGAGGAGGGTGGCACGAGTAGGGTGGCACGAGTAGGGTGGTGTGGGGAGAAAAACAGAGAATAGAAAATAATCAAAGGAAACGAGAGCGTATGTATTTAGGTGTGCACACGTATAACGCGACGAAAGTAATCTCGTCATGCGGAGGCTCGAAGTTTTCGCATCGAGCATCGTTTCCAGCGTACGTATCACGTATCTCGTCAGAATTCTCGCAGCATCCCTGGTCCAGCGAACACGCACGCCGGCCGAAGTGTAAGCCGCAGAATCGACCGTGGCGCGCTCGGCACGATAGGTGGAGAAAGGGATGGGGGTGGGATGGCGTTGTCGAACGGGGGTGCCCAGTGGAGTCTCTGGCGTCGGGGTGCGCGAGAGCTTGCAGAGCTTTTCATTCCGGTGCCGTAGTTCCTCTCGCAAGCTTCGAGGCGCCGTTCGGGCTCGCTTGTGCCGCTCCTTTTCTTGGTCCTCCCTCCTCTCTCTCTCTCTCTCTCTCTCTCTCTCTCTCTCTCTCTCTCTCTTTTTCTCTCTTTCACTCTATTTTACAGTCAGTCAGTCATACTCGGTTTCTCTCTCTCTCTCTTTCTCTTTCACACACACTCTCTCATCCACTCGTTCTCACACACATTATCTTCGTTTGTCTGTCTATTTACTCATTCGCTCATTCATTCTGTATACACCGTTGTATATTATACACTTACACGCGCGTATTTGCTCCGTAAGATCTTATGGGTATCTCATATCTTACGTCTCTTTCAATTTCCGTTAATCGCGTGTTTTCGTGCGTGCATTTCGTTCGTGCAGAAATCTTAGGTGTGCTCTCCTGTGTATTCTAGCTCGTGTCGTCACGTGTGTGTTGATAAACTATCGAGGAGAGCCTGATCACTCCTTCCTTTTCTCTCTTTCTCTTTCTCTCTCTCTCTCTCTCTCTCTCTCTCTCTCTCTCTCTCTCTCTTTCTCTCTCTTTCTCTCTCTCTTTTCCTTTCTCTTTCCGTTAGAGAGAAGAAAAGCCTTTCCCGTGTATAAAGCGAATGATCGGACGAAACTAAAATGATTAGAGAAACCTTGAACGTCTTTTCTTTTCCAGTTCTGTAGTTTTTCGTGATCGGCTAACTTAGTATCCAATTTGCCGGGTTATGAACGAGGATTTTCTTTGGAGACATCACGAAGAGACTCGAGAGGTTACCGTTACGGATTTTACATACGATAGGACGGTGAACGCGTATCTTAACTGTTATATTTTCTCGTCGTTGGATGTGTAAAAGTCGAGCTGTGAATGTTCGCGAGTGTTGTCAAAATTTCGTTCAGTGCCATCGTCGTTGCTGTTGATTGTGGTGGTAGTGATCCTGGTGGTTGTGATCCCGGTCCTAATAATGATGGGGGTTACAAGACGAGACGAGTGATTTTCTAATCTCGTGAGTTTCAAATTAGGAGAACATTTCTTAAAGGACTTTCGCGATTATCTTCCAGGTGAGATTTGTTCATTTTTCTTCGTTTCTTCGTTATCTTTATTTGTTTGTTTCTTTCTCTTTCCATGTTAACCATACTTGGTTGTTTCAACTCGCGGTGGAATTTACCAACCACGACTCGCAAATTATGAGTTATGGGTGGTGCGAAAGAAAATGTTCGGAATTTATCGTTCTGTGTCGTCTATGCTTAATGCAACGAGGCCGCCGACAGTGATGGATATGGCCGTCGGGGCTCGTTTCCGCTAAAACTTTCAACGAGTCCGCGTGGAAACTGATTTTCGTGTCATAAAAGTGAGACCTAGCACCTGATCTTCCCATGACCTTCGCTACTCTACTCTCCCTTTTTTTCTCCCACGCATTCAACCGAATTATAATTCCTGCAATGCATATTTAATTCAGTTTTGTGTTTTTTTTTATAACTGCGCGAAGATCAGTTTTAAAAGAATGATTTAAAGCGTTCCTTTCGATGTAGCATTTATTTTCAAATCGTTACATTTGAATATATTTTGTTATAAATTCTGCATTGTAATAAATTGACTTGTATAGAAATTCTCGAAAACGTAACATTTATTTCATTTGGAGGAATAAATTTCTCGTTAGTTTACTAGCACACCGTTATTATTTCTAGCATATTATTTCATCTGGTAGTAACCAGACAACGTTATTGAAAATTAATCGTGAATGCTAATGAAATCCTTCTATTCTATACACGCGCGTACGCCTGTACGACTGTGGATATTACGTAGAAACGTTTCGCGATCATGCGGCGCGTGGTATGTTAACCTCGGACGTACCAATAATTTGCATAAATCAGCAAGAAAATTTGCGCATAGGTACGTGATCGCAGACATCGGTGCGTTATGTCGGCACATGATTTACGCGCGCATTTATGTTAATTCCGAGAAAAATTTCGATACACCGGCTGTTAATGAACATCTCTGGGAATAATTTAGAATAATAACCGTCTTATGGGCTAGAAGCTGATGGAAATTGAATTTTACGAAGGGAACAGTTACTGTCGCTTTTAATTATAATTTAATGAAAGCACGGCTTTCGATCGATTTGCGTAATACATCGGACTAGAGTGAACGTCAAATTGCAATATCTACAACGTCTATCTTTAATCGTTTGATTAACGAAGATATGACTTTACCATGGTAGATTATGTTTCGTTAGCTTCTCAAGTACGCATTACGGCTCCTTATCAGTGTAATCGATGACTATTGCATACAAGATTAGTATTTAAAAGTGACGAGTACTCGAGATGTGGTCGGAATTTGTTTTTATTACGGTCAGAATTTTCACCAAAACATGCAACGCGACTTTACTTTTCAACATTGTCGTTTGAATTGCTAAACTAATTTTCTCTTTCTTTTTCTTTTTCAATCAGACTCGCAAAGTTTTTCCATCAAGTCGGCACGACACGCTTTTGCCGTTGCTGTTGAAAGTGTAAAAACTGAATCAACAGAAGGCAACTAAAAGAAAAGGAACAAGCGAGAGAATGGGAGAGAATGAGCGTAACGCAACGAACGTAACGCAGTCGTAGGACGATAAAACGAGAGTATCGTAAAGGTCTGGGTTAGTTCTGCTAAAGGAAATCGATATCGAGTTCACACATCGGAAATTATGAAACGTAAACGCGTCCAAGATATCGTAGTCGGTGACCTCGACGTTGCTTGGACACCAAACTACCTCGGCCGTTCTACCGTGAGCAATCAAAATGGAAAATCGATGTGCGTTCTAACGATGTTATCATCGAATATCCGAATGTTACCTTAATGATTGGTTATTCATACGAGTTAATTATTACGATTACTATCAAATTATTAGAAATCAGATCACTCTAATAATACTTACGCAGATTCATTTCTTTAGTTAGGAAGTTCAAATGTTTTAAATCGTAATATATTTATTTTTACAAAATGTGCAATTGATCTATAATAGTGTTTGTCAGTTACTATCGTATCAAGTATATAGGACTTCTCTCGTTTTCTTCTTCAATATTTCATAAAAAAACGATGATGCTTTAGATATCTTTGAGGTTTTTTCGTTTGATTATATGCATCAAAGTGACTTAACAAATTCTCTATAATATGATCGAAAACATAATCGAACACGCATCCAACATATCTCCAAGAAATTAGGTGCTTTGGAACGAATCACGAGGGAAGTAATATCCATCGAAAAATAGGTGACAGGAGCAGAAGTAGGCGACGATGTTAGTGGCAACGGGAGAGAATAAAGTTGCTCGAACTATGATTATGGAAAAACGAAGTCGAGAAAAGAGCTATAGATATATACATATATGGGGTCTTTTATAGCTAGAAGTAGATATAATTTGGAATCTGCTGGATTCTACATGCAAAAATAAATTTAAAATAAAATTAATTTATACGATGCTTGTGAGAATTTCACAAAATTGTCTTCTTTTTTGTGTCTTAAACCGAAAGATTTATAATTTGTCCAGATCCTGTATATTCTTATTCTATTATCAGATTCGTCAAGATACGATTGACGAAAATGACGAATTTATATAAAAAAAAGAAGAAAGGACCTAAAATATGGATGCATATAGGGAGATTATTAGATAAACGTGGAATATTTTCATCATTTTTCTTTTACGCGCGGCCTATATTCGGTCGTTATTCGTGGCCGCGTTCAAGGAGACTTCCTACTTTGCGTTTCTACTTGGAGGAAACGTATTTCATCAAAACTTGCGCCTTTGGAGTTGTCCAATCCTCGGTACGGATCTTCTGATGCTCCACCCCATTCAGAACGAGTGTGAATGAGAGGGCAGATCTCTTAAATTTATACGGCTAGGACGATATCGGTGACTATCAAGTGGATGCATACTTTACCGAAGAAACATGGAAGATATAAGAAACATTGAACCGTAACCAATTTTATAGATAAATTTGATTCTTTCGAGAAAAGATGTACGATCTGGATACATTTTCCTCGATAACTGTACACTTGATTTAGAGAATGAGAAAGTAACAGAGAAAAAGAGAGAGAATGAGTGAGAAAGTCTGGAGAAAACAAATTAACGATAATTCGGAATATTTTTGTGGTTTTAAAATGATCTGAAATAAGGGGAAGGTAAAATCGAGTCAATTTCGTTGATCAAATTTCTACGAATTGATAGATCATATTGCTTTCGTTAGTTGCAAATGAAAATTTAAATTTTCATTTATTCGCGTATTATGGCAAGATATACATATATATTTATATGATAATATTATACATACATTAAAGAGTCAAAAGCTAATTTCGTGAATGGGTCTACGCATGTATCTAACTACGTATGTACGTATGTTATGCTATTTTAGCGAGTCATTACCTTCATAGGATTTGTTCGTTAACAAACCTAGAATCGCATTCGATATTTAATACTCTCAAATTTAGATTTCGTATTCACGCAGGACGAAATTTATGTTTCGTTGACCGACGATATATCTCTATGTGATGTGTTTCATATAATTAGTTTCTAATAACGTTGCGTATATTATAATGAAGGGATTAGATGTCACCGCGGGAATCACGATTATAACTTTCACGTTTAATACGCGAGGTTGTTAGTTTAAGAAAATAATGAGCTTAATACGATAACTATACCGGAGCTTTGATATTTCGATATAGAAATGATTTTAATTCGTTTAACAATTTCATTGATAAATACACACATACATGCATACGTAGAGTATTTTAATCGTTAGTCGAGGTTCTCTCGTCGAACGTCAATTTCGCTTGGACAATTACGTCAGGAACGTTACGCGTTTATACATTCTACATAGATTTATGGGTAAATCGAATATATTGTATTTCGTTGGTCTATATTATTTTCTATACTTTTCTAAAGTCAGCTTTATAATCATTATATTGCGATGAATGAAATCTCATTAGAATTTTATAGCTTCGAATAATATTATATAATAATTTTGTTTATCAAGAATTTTTTGTGTTCATTGAATTCGACGATTATTTTTGATCGGTATTGTTTCGCGAAATCGCGAAATCCTTCTGCATCGAAAATTCATAATAAATTTAATGCTCATAATTATTCTCTTGGTATTTTAATAAAAACGCTGAAGGTATTTAATTTAGAAAAGTATAACGAGGAATAAAATATTATCCTCTTATCCTTTCCGGTCATATATCTTGGCAGCTTTCTGTCATTTTCGCGCTCGTACTCTCTCTCTCTCTCTCTCTCTCTCTCTCTCTCTCTCTCTTTATTTCTTGCTCTCGTTCCGCACGAAGGACCATTTTTTCGACGTTATTATTTGTGCAATAATCGTCCGCGAATACGGCGTACCGACCATCGATCTTTCGACGTACTTTTATGAGGTCACACGAGCTGTGAAATATCGATCGGACAACTGGAAGACAACGAGGACATTCAATTTGAAATTTGTCGACATTTCAATCATTCAACGGGACTCTACATAAATTGATGTAAATACATTTTTTACTTTTTGTCACGTTTGTTTAGAATTTTCATAATGAAAGTTTAATCAATGCGTAACATTGAAGTTACGTCAAACGTGTAATGTTCGATATATTTCAATAATTAAAAACGCGTTCAATTATATAGATTATATGTATATCGTTTAAACTCGAGAAAGAATTTTTCTGAAACAATTCAAATATAAAATATTATTGATTCTCTGAGATAATGAAGAAAGTTCCTACCGTTTTATACAATAAAGATAAATGATAGGCGAACTTAGAAACGACACGAACTTTCGTGATTACTTCTAATATCATATTATTTATGGTTTTATATCTCTATAATCTACAAATATTTGCAATGTATTTAATTCCAAGAGAATATTGAATTCCTTTTGCATAGTCGAACGAACAATCGTGTAATCATTAATACAACATTATATCACCTTCAACTTGCGATCATTCGTAAAGTAAAATCACTAATTACTAGCGAATCGAGCCGATTAATTTGCGTAATGAATTTTTAAAAGATGCAACCAACGTTTAATGGGAAAA